GCCCCTGCATGTACCTGCCCACAGGTAGACCAGACAGGGTTCTTAAAGATAAGTTGGGACGCAATATAGTGTTTTTTGGGAAATCACAAGTCTGCAACAACTTTAACACTCGCACTTGCGGGTACAGCGCCTGCAGACTATTACATATCTGCTCCCAATGTTTCAGAGCTCACTCTAGGACAATGTGTCCAAATAAGCTGTACCCTTAGAGAATTATTGGGTAATCACCCCTGGCAACATCTTGTAGATTTTTTGGTGTCTGGGTTCACTATAGGGTTTCACACGGGTATCCTTTATATGCCAACGGGAATCATTGAATGTAAAAATTTGCAGACGGCTCTGGCAGATGCTGACGCCATTAATATACTGCTCCAGAAGGAATTAGACCAGGGGTTTTTACTAGGCCCATTTGGCTCTCCTCCCTTTGCAGTATGGAGAACTAACCCCATAGGTATGGTTACAAGTAAATCCTCCAATAAGCAAAGGTTGATCATTGACCTCTCTGCTCCCCATGCTACAACCATTCCTAGTCTTAACTCGCTCATTCCATCAGAGGAATTTTCACTCCAATATGCGACTGTGGACAATGCCATACATGCTATTCTGTCAGCAGGTATCGGTGCATGGCTTAGCAAGACAGACATAGTAAACACATTCAAGCTCCTCCCTATCCACCCTTCCCTGTGGCATCTACATGGTGTTAAGTGGCAGGAGTCATACTATTTTTTCATGTGACTCACTTTTGGCTCCAAGAGCAGTCCTAAAATCTTTGATATGTTTGCTGAGACATTATGTTGGATGATGCTTAACATCTATAGATGCTCCACCATAATCCATTACCTTGACAACTTTCTTGCCATAGAGAGCAACCTGCTTCCACCTTATAGCCGTCAGGCTATATTACAATTGTTTAAATGGTTAGGTGTTCCTGTTTCACCTACTAAAACTGAAGGTCCCAATACTGTTATCAACTTTCTGGGGGTAGTGCTGGACTAATGCAAGCCAGCCTCCCCCTGACTAAGATTGAGCGCATCCTTTCAGCTATTCACCATTATCTGGCGGGGGGTTCTTGCAATAGGAAGGAATTACAATCACTATTAGGGTCACTTAATTTTGCCATGAAAATTATACCACAAGGGCGGGCTTTCAGATCCCGGTTACTTAGCCTGTTTCCCCAATTTCAATCGGATTCCTCCTGCATTTCACTGGATATACATGCCACCGCATTCCAGTATTGACGGACAAGTCTTTGTCAATCTGGACGGATGCTGCGGCCACATCCGGATTTGCTGCAATTTTTGGGAAAAACTGGTGGCAGGGGACAGACGGTCACTATCACGTATTAGAAATAAATGGTGCCTGTGACGAGACCAATCTTGCCACATTGCATTGGAGAAGCCTGGTTGCTCGCCTGCTGCCTTTGGACTATGGCCCCCTTTTAAAAGACTTTATTTTTCCATGCAGAAAAGCTGTATTCGTGCTTTTCTGCCAGTTGTTCGGTAGTTTCAATCTACCGAACAACCGTACGAATGACTGGACCACCTGGGAGCTGGAGTGTGCCGGCAATTAACCTCCCTGAAGCTGCGGTTAACCGCAGCTTAATTGATGAACACCTCTAACGGTGTTCGCCTCTATTTTCATGGAACTAAAATCGGACACAGTTTTGCGCGAACACCGCTGAAGTCGCCGACCTCCCTTCTTGTTCGGTGAAAGCACACGAATGACCCGGTGTTCGGTATTTTTGTGTGAATGTCTTATACCCCAGATAGGAATCCCATGGAGCCCATTCGTATGAAACTGACTGTAAAGACTTTGGCTCCATGGCGATTGAACTGTATTCGTGTAGTCTGAGTGCCATTCACCTAATAATGTGCACTCAGACCTGAGCTATCTGGGGATATGTTACATGTCTGTGTTTTATGTAGTAAATGTTACTTTGTGCATTTTAAAGTATTATGCTGGTTTTGTGTTCCCACGTGTGTAATGGAGTTTTGCCTTTGTCTTGGGAGATAATTGAGTTACTTCCCAATTATCTCCCAGGGCAGAGGGGAGGAAGCCAGGATGCATTGTGGGAATATACTGTGACTGTGTGTCCTATTTGTATACTTGTCTGTCCCTTGTCACAGTCTCCCATTTGGTCCCCTAGGGGAGTGTCCACCAGGTGGGAGACCTGCATAAAAGCTGGGCAGGTAGCCCTCATTAAACAGACCACTGCTTGACCCTCAACACGGAGCCTTGTCTCGTCTTTGGGGGGATTTACTGTATGCTGCTAAGGACTGATTGCCAGGAGTGTAAGCCGCTTGGAAGCTTTTCCTGTTCGTCTGCTAGCAGCTATTCGTATGGTTCCTGTTCGTTTATTTGAAGTGCTACCTTATTCCCTTGTATGCCGTTCGGGAGTTTGGAGCATTCACTTATTGGCGGTTCGTGAGTTTTGGTGATTCTACAGTAGCTGTGCCTGTCTCTAAAAGGGGATTATCGTCTAAGCGGTTTTTTCCCCTTTTGTGCAAAACTGTCCGTTACAATTGGTGGCAGCGGCGGGATCGTTCCCACAGACTACAGGACAGCTACAGGTGACACCATTCCGTGGATTTTTACAATTTGAGGGCAACGCATGTCCCAGTACAGCGACCCTGACAGCACCGAGATGGAACCAGCAGTGGAGTATGACGAGGGTGCCATGGATGACCGAGATGCAGTCCGTAAAGGCATCTGGTACCAGGCACTGGGTATTGTGGAGTACCAGCGGGGTGAGAGACTCCCCAAGGAAGACCAGCGGTTGCAGAAGCGAGTAGCCCTGCGGATGCCCTTCCTGGGAGAGCAGCCCCTGGAGGAATGGGTGAGGAAATTGGAACACCTAGTATGGCAGGAGTTGTGGCTAGAAGATGCCTACCAGGCGCTCTGGTGGTATATGGCACAGTATATACCCTGGACAGCTGAGCATGACAAGCCAGACGGAGAGGAGTTTGATGGTCCTGGCTTGTTATGGGAGTCCTTTGCTGAGCTCGAATTTGGGAGCACTACACAAGCCCGGTTCAGTGATCTCTGGGAGTGGAGGGAGAGCAGGTATGACTGGGACGACGCTCACAAAATTGAGCAAGACCTGGTCCACCTGGTGACCCGGGAGATGGAGCTAGAACAGGGCTACCAGCAGCTGTTCCAATACAGTGAGAAGGCTCAGCAGGAGAGCAGCATGACAGAGCCAGACCCATTCAGAGGGGACGAGATGGTACAGTTTTACTGGGAAGAACCCCAGGTGGCCGGTGGAGATGGGACCGAGGTCTCTCCACCGGTCCTGCAGGGTATTGGGAGCCCAGTCTCCATTCCCCAGCGGCAGTGTAAAGTGCAGGGAGAGGAGAGCAGCGTCCTCCCTCCCCAGCGGCAGGCTGAGTTACAGGGGGCAGAGGTAGTTGTTCCTGCCCCCCAGCAGCAGCGTGATATGCCGGGAAGGCAGTGTGAAGTGCAGGGAGAGGAGAGCAGTGTCCTCCCTCCCCAGCGGCAGGCTGAGTTACAGGGGGCAGAGGTAGTTGTTCCTGCCCCCCAGCAGCCAAGTGATATGCCGGGAAGGCAGTGTGAAGTCCAGGGAGAGGAGAGCAGTGTCCTCCCTCCCCAGCGGCAGCGTGATTTTTTGGAATTGGGAGCCCAGTCTCCATTCCCCAGCGGCAGTATGATGTTTTGGGAATTGGGAGCCCAGTCTCCATTCCCCAGCGGCAGCACAGATTATTGGGAATTGGGAGCCCCGTCTCCATTCCCCAGCGGCAGAGTGTCCTACCGGGAATAGAGAGCCCAGTCTCCTTTCCCCAGCAGCAGGACTCTGTATTGGGAGCAGAGACAGTCGGTCTCCCTCCCCCGCAGCTGGAAGTATGTATGGGAGAGGAGCCTGTTATTCCCTCTCCCCAGCGGCAGCTTAATGTACCAGGGGGAGACAGTATTTTATTTTATTTAGTTTGTAAAATGCTTCCAAAATTAAACAGAATAACAAATTAAATAACAAAATAACAATAATAAACAATCAACTGAAATAATGCCCAATTCAAACATAATACCAAATGAAACATAAATACCGAAATAAAAACTCAGGAAGGGGCACTAATAGGGGAGTAAACTTATACCAAATTAAATAACTGGGAATAACAGGGAGAGGGATTAACAGAAAAGGGGGGGAACTAAATCATAAGGGGATAAATTAAAAGGCGGGGGGCTCCATTACTTCATGGAGCCTTGGGGAGGGAGAAAAAAGGCTGAAATGCTCCTGAAGGAGCTCTTACATAACAAGGGGGGGACAAGGGGGGACCCAATTGACCTCGAGTCCACAGCCAGCTAAACACAAACATAAACCAAGCGTGAAATAAAATACACACATAAACATAAACAAACCCATTAACCACATGGAGTCCTTTTCTCAGTTCATAAAACCCACCAACCACATGAAGTCCATCCCTCCGTCCATCAACACCAACCCACCACCTACACTTTAAACCCAAACTTTAAACCCAAACCCACCACCCAAATGGAGTCCATTTTCAATTCATAAAACCCACCACCCTCATGGAGTCTATCCCTCCGTCCATCCCCCAAACCCACCACCCAAATGGAGTCCTTTTCTCAGTTCATCACATCCAAACCCACCACCCACATGAAATCAAAATTTTGTCCATAGACCCACCACCCACATGAAATCCAGTTTGTACACCACCCTCAAGGAGTCCATCCCTCCGTCCATAAAGAAACCCAGTGTTTTTTTGTTTTTTTTTCCCCACCCAAAGTAAATTTTTCAATTTGTCCATACACCAGAAACCCACCCTAACCCAAACAATACCAAAAATAACCTGTGCATAACCATAACCTAACTACACTGCACTACCTAGATGCAGAGGAAGGTACTCGTCTGCTAAAGGTGGCAGCCTTCCATGAAAAGAAAAACCAGTTCAAAATCTACGGGGGAAAGGTGAAGACAGATTTGGAATTCCCTTCACCAAGACAAGGGCGCCCTATGGAGCGGTTCAAGGCGGGTGGACCTTGAGATTTCGCCACAAACGCTGCCAAATGGTGGGATCCATAGAGGCCCTTTCGGTGGTATAGATCCCACGAACCGCCCTCAGAATGTCTGCTACCACCACCTGACAGGAAAGGTCTTTACGTTGAAGGGAAACCTGACACCTTGCCATCCAAGTGAAATACTTAACCACTGAACTGACTACATAAAGAGTGCCCAAATCAAAAGCCCTCCCCCTTGAGTTGGACGTCCCGTACGCCCACTCCGCATAAGTCCAGCGGGATAAGCAGGGGATGCCTAAGGCGGCTGAGACCTCTTTGTAGACCTGTACGTTAAAGGGGCACTCGAGGAGGAAGTGGTCCATGGACTCCACTTCCCCGGAACATTCCACCCGAGGACAACCACGATCCGTTATGTTCCTGTACTTCAAGTTCCCTCGAACGTAAAGTCTACCGTGGAAGGAGAGAAACGCCACGTCTCGGTATTTCTCCGGAAGGCGCCTGGAGTTGATGTTTTTCAACCCCGAGGCGAGAGTACTTGGCGGGCAGTCCTTCAAAGCAAGCTGAATGCCAAAGTGGGTGGCCAGGACCCTCCCGTCGAGAAGCTTCTTGGGAGTGTCCCGAACCTCCTCCACCGTGACGTTCCACCTGCGCAGAATTCCCACTCCCTCGATGACCGAAGACGGAAGATAGCTAGAATGCCGAACTCTCATGCTCTTCACCCTCCCACCCTGAAACCAGTCCACCAGGAAAGGTGTGACCCACTCCCTGAATATACATACCCAGCCAGGCTGCTCGTCCTTCAGGAGAGCCCCGAAATTCCTTTTCAGGAAGGTGTTAGTAAAGAAGACGATGGGGTTGACCATGGCCAGACCCCCGTCCTTTCTGGCCAGGTAAGTGACCTCTCTTTTGATGAGGTTCAGCCTGTTCCCCCACAACATGCGGAAGAACAGCGCAAACATCCGAGCGTGGAGGGACCTGGGCAAAAGGAAGATGTTACTGACGTAGCCGAATACGGTCAGAACATAGGTTTTGATTAGGTTCACCCGTTCTCTGAACGTCAGTTTCCACCTGTGGCTCTCCTCCACCTTGCTAGAAGCTATGGCAAGCCGTTCGGTCCAGTTCCTGAGAGCCAGATCCCCTGGTCCGAACACCACCCCCAAGATCTTAATTTCAGGCTGGGCCCTCGGGAAACCGTCTGGAAGAGGGAACTGGTCCCCCTCCTTCCCGCACCAGAAAACTACGCTCTTGTCCCTGTTGACACGAGAGGCTGAAGCGGCAGAATACGCTAGGATTAAATCATCCACCTCCGTGGCCTCCCGAGTATTGGAGACCACTATGGAGATGTCATCAGCGTAGGCAACAACCCGTAAAGGCCTCTCCGGAGCCCTGGCCACTCCCTGTAACGTGCCTGCCTCGACCCTTCGGATGAAGGGATCGACTGCAAACACGTACAAGAGTGGGCTGAGAGGACAGCCTTGCCTGACCCCGGATCGGATCCTAAACGTCCTGCCCCTCCACCCGTTCACAAGAGCGAAGCTTTCGGCCCCTCTGTACAAGGTGATTATCCAATTGACGAATTTTCCCGGCAAGCCATACTTCCGCAAGACTGACCACAGATAACGGTGATCTACTCGATCAAAAGCTTTGGACTGATCAAGTGCCAGAAGGTATATCCCCCTTTCTCCGTCCCTGCACTTCTCGAGGGCTTCCCTGACTTCGAAAACGGCATCAAAGACAGTTCTGCCCTCGATTGAACAGTACTGGGAGGTGGATAGGACACGCCTCGCTAGGCCCTGTACTCGTTTCATCAAAATCTTTGCCAGGACCTTCCTGTCGACATTTAACAGGGATATGGGGCGCCAGTTCCCCACATCCGCTGTGTCGAGCACGTTCGGCTTGGACAGCAAGATCAGGGCAGAAGTCCTCATCGAGGGTGGCAATAATCCTTGAGCCAAGCTCTCATTAAACACCTCGGTCAGATGAGGGGCCAAGAGGTCGCAGAACTGTTGGTAAAACTCGGCCGTCAGACCATCAGGACCTGGCGACTTACACTTGTTCTGCTGTTGGATACTCTCTGTGACCTCTTCTATGGTGATCTCGCTGACCAACTCGTCAAAAGAGAGGTCGCTATGCTCAGGGAGCGTGAGCTCGCTCAAGAAGTCATCCACCCTTCTCCCGTGGGAGGTTCCCTCCTCGCTACATTGGGGGCTGCCCTTTCCGAGGAGCTCAATATAGTAGTCGCGGACCACCTTCAGAATCCCGCGAGGAGACTCCTCTAGGGTCCCGTCGGTGCCCCGCAGACTAGGGATGGACTTGGTACCTTCCTTCCGCTTGCAGCTAAGATAAGGATCGGGCGAGCGGTATGACCCATGATCCCTCTCTTTTACAAGGGAGGCGTACCTGTCATACTGATAACTCCTCATCAGGTTTTTAACTGCCGCAATGTCCTCGGGGTCACCTCCCTGCGAGATCAGGATGTCTAACCTCCCAAGCAAGCCCAGATACATCTTGTACCTGGAGGACTGCATGTTCCGGGCGAGATTGCGAAACAGCCGTTGAGTTCTGGCCTTCACCATCTCCCACCACTCAGACTTCGTTTGGCCTAAGTCGGCCAATGTCATCTGATCGCGAAAGAATTCCATGAAGGCTTGCTGAACCCTCTGTTCCACCAGGAGGTCTGAATTTAGCCGCCAGATCCCTCTACCCTTAGGTGGGGTACTATAGACGTTCAACTCGCAAGACAAAATGTGATGGTCGGAGAACTCCACCGGTGTAAGCACGGGTGCCGCCACCGGGAAATTCTCCTTAAAGAAAAACCTATCTATCCTACTCTGACAGCTACCTCTGTGATAAGTGTACCCACCCGTGGGATTGGGAGTGTGATGAAGGTACACATCGACCAATCCAGCCTGACTAACCATCTTATTTAAAAAATAGGAGTCATACCCCAGCCTCTGAGTGGCGTCTCTCCTGTCTTGAGGCCTAGTTATGGTGTTAAAGTCACCGCCAAACAGGATTTGCTGGGATGTATAAAGGTAAGGCTCTATCTCAATAAACAGGCGCTTCCTCTCCCACTTAGATTGGGGGCCATAGATATTAATTATCCTGAAAGGTTGCCTGCCCATTGAGACATCTAAAACCACACACCGTCCTTTTTGCAACTCAATAACCCTGTTGATGCTAACATCAACGTCCTTAAATAGGATGGCGATTCCCCCATATCTCTCTGTGGCTAGAGAGAAGTAGGAGGGCCCCCATCTCCAGTCCCGCTTTGCAGCGTGCAGGGCCGCGAGGGTTTCCAGCCGGGTCTCCTGTACCAAGATGACATTGTACGGAGCCCGGCTGAGGTGGTCGTAAACCAAAAAGCGGGCCCTGCTGGACTTAATGCTGTTTACATTCACCGTAGCCACAGAGAGTACAGGAAAAGTCGCCATAAGGGCATTAAGTATAAGGAGACTTTCCCTTCCTTCTGCGGTACCCCTCCTCCTCCGTGTCGGAACCGAGGAACCTCTTCACTGAGACTCCGGGATACAGTGGCCCGTCGTCTCTCAGAAGCACCTCCTGTCCCACCTCAACCCCTGCCACCACCTCGGGGAGGTTCGCCATCTCCTCCTCGTACTCACAGTCGGCCCAGCTGGAGGACAGTGCCTCGTACCTGTTAGATACGGGCACCGGGGCCTCCTGCAAGCCCGAAGAGGAGGATGACGCCCGTGCCACACCACCCTTATAAGTGGCGTCTCCCCTTTTCGGGGGTTTCGCCGCAGGGGGTATGGCGATCTTCCGGGGTGAGGGCAGCGTCGAGGTCTTGGAGGGGGGGGGGTTTCTTACCTTTCACCGTGCTCCACTCTAGGGACTGTGCATCTGGGGACTTTTCAGTGGGGGTAACCTTCACCGTGGAGAATTTAGGAGGGGGGGGCCTAGGGGGAGGGGGTCTAGGGGGAGCCATAATGGCTGTGGAGGTAGTGCGTTCTCTACGTACACTTTTCGTGAGGGGACGTGAACTTGTGGCCTTCCCAGGGTCCTGAGATGTTACAGAGACCGAGGGGAGGATGGGTTGTTGCTGGGGCAGGGAAACCCTTGTGCCAGAGATGGGCCTTGTAGATGACGATGCTACCTGAACCCCTAACCCAGCAGAGTCCATCTCCACCGGCTCCTGACTCCAGATGGACTCTACATTGTGCTGGGCTTCGGGGCAGGTGCGGTACGTGTGACCCATCTCTGAACACAGATGACACCGGATCTCCCTGCAGCTGTCCCGGAGGTGCCCCACAGCGCCGCACATAGTGCATTTGAGGACCGTACAGGCATTGCTGTAATGCCTGTACGATCCGCACTTGTGACATACCCTGGGCTGACCAGGGTAAAAACAGGATACCCGGTCAGCCCCGATGAAAAAACTATTAGGCATATGCTGTGTGACACCTCGAATCTCCCGCAGCAACACTGAAACAGTCCATCCGCCTGTCCAAATCCCATCCTCATCTAAGATCTTAACAGGGGGGGATTTAACATCCCCAAACCTCTTAGTCCAAACAAGGATGTCTGCTATGGGGATGGATTCATTTCTCACCAGGAAAGTGACCTTCTTAAGACCCTGGCGAGAAATGGCCACAGCGGTGAATCCTGCCCACTTTGTACCCTGTGCAGACCTGGCCGCTTCCCACCCAGCCCAGAAGCGATCCAGGAGCTGCGACGTCATAAAGGAGACGTCGAACTCCCGGGTGCCCGAGGCATGGATGAGCGCGTACAGGTCCACGGGCGCAAATCCCATATCCTTTAGCCGGGTCACCAGCCACCGTCTGTCAGGCACCTGGGTCTCACCCCCACAGATGAGCCGTACCACGTTCCTCCTGTTCCCAAAGGAAACCTGAGGACGCGTAGCAGGCCCGTCCGCAGAGAGGCGAGGTGGCCCAGATGCCCAAGCATTGGGCGCACCGGGACCCGCCGTCTGGGAATGATTCGGACGGACTCCCCTCGCTGAACCAGAGGCCTCGGTCACACCAGAACCCTGGGTGACAACCTGGGAGTGCCTAAGGGGAACCCGTGTACCTGCTTGTGCGTCTAAACTATTTATAACCGCGGCACCCTTTGTCAGGGTGCCTGTGCCCGTGCTCGTGCCCGCCACCTGTGTACCAACTAACTCCAGTGAACCAGGGGCAGGGGCAACATAACCTGAGGCGGGGGCAACATAACCAGGGGCAGGGGAAACAGTACCAGGGGCAGGGGCAATAGTACCGGGGGCGGGGGCAACATAACCAGAGGCAGGGGCAACAACACCAGGGGCAGGGGCAACAACACCAGGGGCAATAGTACCGGGGGCAGGGGCAACAACACCAGGGGCAGGGGTAACAACGCCAGGGGCAGGGGCAACAACACCAGGGGCAGGGGCAACAACACCAGGGGCAGGGGCAACAACACCAGGGGCAGGGGCAACATCATTAATACAAACAGGCTGGCTGTGGACCTTTTTACTAAGGCCAATAGGTCCCATCATTACATTTACATCCATACTCCCATCCTCCTCAGCCATCCCTAAACCACCAGTGGAGTCAAACACAATGTTAGTCATACTTTTCTTACCTCCACTGGCGGTTTCCTCAGTATGGACTGCTGGCTGAGGATGATGGGAGTCCCCTGCAGTCCTGTCTTCCATAGCGCCAGCGGCACCCGCGGCACCAGGAACAACAGGAACAACAGGAACAACAGGGGGACTGGTTACACATTCAGACATAAGGGGAACACATAGGGAAGCAGGGGGAACAGACTGGAAGACAAACTTGGACACATCCAGGGAAACAGACTGGGGGACAAACAGGGGAGGAGACTTGCTGGTAGGGGAGAGCAGTCGAGCTTGCTCCAAGGGAGCAGAGGGAAAAGGAGGGCCATCACCCTGCTCCAGACTGCTCCATCCAGTGCCATCCTGCCCAGCAGCCGCCTGAGGACAGGAGGCAGAGGTACCAGCCACTCCAGGGGACGCAACCACACGGAGAGGAAGGTCAGAGGGAAGGCAGGTAAGGGAGGGAGTGGGAAGGGAGCAAGGGAAGGACCCCTCCATGGGATCACCGGTACACGCCATAGTACCGGCGGGGATGGTCTCCCTGTCACCATGGAGGGCGGCGGGGGCCCAGATACTTCCACAGAAGCAGGTTGTGCAGGTTTCTGGGGCATACAGGTGTTGCCACCTGCAGGGTTAGTATCCCTGGCCCCAGGCTTCTGCAAGGCCTGAACATCATCATTGTACATATACTCAGCATTTGAGCACTCACCCTCCTCTGTGGAATCTCCAGACCCCCTGACAGAGGTCTCAGGCTGACGCCGGGCGATGTTTTTCTTTTTCTTCTTTTTCTTCTTTTTGTCCTTTACGGAGTCCTCCCCAAGTTCGTTTCCAAACTTGAGGAGAGACTCCTTAATCAGCCCTCGACCTCTGTCCTGCACTTTCAGCTGCCACTCTTCACCTTTCTCTCCGTCCCACTCCTCTTCACTGTCCTTCTCTCTGGCCTTCCCCTCCGTCTCAGCAGCGCCCCCTGGAGTAGCAAGGGCAGAGGTAGACGGCTCCCCAGGTGAGTGATGGGAGTTGGAATCCAAGTCCTTGCTGGACTCCTCACCTGGGGACATGTCCCTCCTGCCCTCCATAGCCCTCTGCCTCCTGGACCTCGCAGCGTCCTTGACTCTCTGTTGCAGGATGGCCTGGATGTCTGCTATTTTCTTTTCAGTCTGGAGCAGGGTGTAGGATAGATGCTGCTCCACTAATTTTTTCTCAGCTATAGCGGCCCTCAAAGGACCTCTTTTGTAATTAGAGGTCCTGTTTGATTTTTCCCTCTGCTCCCTTAGCTCTGCCTGGACCCCAGCTAGGCCCGAGTCTGCCTCGGCATGCTGGGCCTTCAGGGACACAAGCAGACCCCGGAGCCTGTCAGAAGGTAGCCCCATAAAGACCCTAGCCTCAACCCCCTCACCCTTTGCAGCCTCAGCATAGGTGAGGGAGGCCTGAGGGGTCTTGCTGGCACTAGCCACCTCAGGGGGGGTCTCAGGGACTACCTCCTCCTCGGTACCCTCTCCCACCTCCAGGGACGGGGGGGGCTGTTCTAGGAAGTGGAGGCCACTGCTGGCAAGTTCACGGCACTCAGCCAGCAGCCCAGAGAGCAGCTGGATATCGGCCCTGGTGTGGGCCGTAGCTCCCTGGGGGACCCCCACTTCCCTTTTCCATGCTGTAAGCTTCCTAGACATCCCCCTCGCCAGTTCCTCCAACAGGGAGACCTGTTTTCGTATTTGCCGGGAGAGGGCCTGATGCTCAGTCCAAGACAGGCCCCTGGTATCCGCCTTACCTTCCCCAAAAGCCAGCACTGCCTGCAGCTCGTCCAGCCTGACCTTCCATCCCCAGGCTGGGGAGGAAGGCCCGAGGGCCATGCTTGCCTAGGCCCAGGCAGAGCCCCTTGCTGTAGTAATTCCAAAGCCCAGAAATCAAGCTCCAAAGCAGCCACAAACGGGTGTGGTCCTGGTAACACACAGATGAAGCACAGAGCAGCTCCCTCTCCAGCAGTAATGGCAAACTCCTCCTACTCCAGTGGGAGGGGAGACAGTAAGCCCCACAACTGTGCAGATGGGACCGTAGTCTCTACACTGCCAGCACAGGGGGTAGGGACGGTCGGTCCTGCCCCCCAGCGACAGGGCTGTTTAGCCAAAGGGGAGACAGTCGGTCTCCCCCTCCAGCAGCAGAGATGGGTAACCAAAGGGGAGACGGTCGGTCTCCAGCAGCAGGACTGTGCATCTAAAGGGGAGACAGTCAGTCTCCAGCAGCAGCAGAGCGGTGTATTTAAAGGGGAGACAGTCGGTCTCCCCCTCCAACAACCAGGCTTCCACCAGGCTACCCTCCCAGTAGCGCTGGCAACAGGGCAGAGTGCCGCTGGTCTCTGCCCACGCAGCAACCCACCAAGTCAGCGTACCCGTACCCAGCACAGCCGTGGTGAGGCACCTGGACATGGACAAGCTTCTTCTCTACCCAGGTGTAGTAACCATTTATTGTGGGTGGGCTGTGCTGTTGATTATTTGTTGTGGGTGGGCTGCTGGACTAACAAGGGCACTGACCGGCAGGAGGTCAGATACCCTGTTAGTCTGTTGGGAAAAGGGGAGAGATGTGACGAGACCAATCTCGCCACATTGCATTGGAGAAGCCTGGTTGCTCGCCTGCTGCCTTTGGACTATGGCCCCCTTTTAAAAGACTTTATTTTTCCATGCAGAAAAGCTGTATTCGTGCTTTTCTGCCAGTTGTTCGGTAGTTTCAATCTACCGAACAACCGTACGAATGACTGGACCACCTGGGAGCTGGAGTGTGCCGGCAATTAACCTCCCTGAAGCTGCGGTTAACCGCAGCTTAATTGATGAACGCTGGGTGGCCGCCGTTCGTATCCCGAACACGAGGTCGCGGCCATTTTAAACCATACGAATGAACAGCGGTGTTCGCCTCTATTTTCATGGAACTAAAATCGGACACAGTTTTGCGCGAACACCGCTGAAGTCGCCGACCTCCCTTCTTGTTCGGTGAAAGCACACGAATGACCCGGTGTTCGGTATTTTTGTGTGAATGTCTTATACCCCAGATAGGAATCCCATGGAGCCCATTCGTATGAAACTGACTGTAAAGACTTTGGCTCCATGGCGATTGAACTGTATTCGTGTAGTCTGAGTGCCATTCACCTAATAATGTGCACTCAGACCTGAGCTATCTGGGGATGTGTTACATGTCTGTGTTTTATGTAGTAAATGTTACTTTGTGCATTTTAAAGTATTATGCTGGTTTTGTGTTCCCACGTGTGTAATGGAGTTTTGCCTTTGTCTTGGGAGATAATTGAGTTACTTCCCAATTATCTCCCAGGGCAGAGGGGAGGAAGCCAGGATGCATTGTGGGAATATACTGTGACTGTGTGTCCTATTTGTATACTTGTCTGTCCCTTGTCACAGTCTCCCATTTGGTCCCCTAGGGGAGTGTCCACCAGGTGGGAGACCTGCATAAATACTGGGCAGGTAGCCCTCATTAAAACAGACCACTGCTTGACCCTCAACACGGAGCCTTGTCTCGTCTTTGGGGGGATTTACTGTATGCTGCTAAGGACTGATTGCCAGGAGTGTAAGCCGCTTGGAAGCTTTTCCTGTTCGCCTGCTAGCAGCTATTCGTATGGTTCCTGTTCGTTTATTTGAAGTGCTACCTTATTCCCTTGTATGCCGTTCGGGAGTTTGGAGCATTCACTTATTGGCGGTTCGTGAGTTTTGGTGATTCTACAGTAGCTGTGCCTGTCTCTAAAAGGGGATTATCGTCTAAGCGGTTTTTTCCCCTTTTGTGCAAAACGGTCCGTTACAGTGCCTGTGGAAGTCTTCGAGTCTATCCTCCATTTCAAATGCACCACATAAATTATTTCTGGCTTTACACGGTAATACCCTAACTACTAGTAGGTTCATGCTCTATGTGAGAACGTTATTGGTACGATTAGGCTTTAACCCCGCAAAATACTTGGGTCACTCATTCCACATAGGAGCCGATACTTCAGCATCTAAGAGGAATATTCCAGCATACATCATTAAAATGTTAGGCTGGTGGAAGTCCATTGCTTACACCAGATACATACCTCAACCAGTACAAGAGGTACGCCTAGCATTCAAGAGTATGGTTTTGTGATATTCTTATGTTGTATTGTAGGCTGAATAAACTGGTTATATCTTTTTGCCCTCTTTTATTTCAGGCCTACCGCATCGTCAGTTCAGGCACACCACAACTGACTTTTCCCCTCCCCCTGTTTGTTTTATGTTACTAAGTCAATGGCTTTAATGCCCTGAACACAAATGTAAGGCTGGGCCTTAAGTTGTGGGACGGGCTTGGTTTCCATTCTTAAGAGCACCGGCCCCCTCCTCACTACCGTCTCAGGTCTGGCGATGTGCCCACCCACCACTCCTCCTTTTATTATCATTACATAAAGTAGGCCCTCTTTTATTTCAGGCCTAACGCATTGTCAGTTCCGGCACATTACAACTGACTTTTCCCCTCCCCCTGTTTGTTTTATGTTACTAACTCTACGGCTTTAATGCCCTGAACACAAATATACATGTATTATATCTATGTATAATATGTATATATATCTTATATACATAATGTCAAACTAAGTGTATTTTTATATTTATATTTACATATATTTATATTAAAATACACTTATATTTAAATTACACACGTATATATAATATATATATTAACTATAAATATTGTAATATAAGTAAATAAAAATAAATAATCTTTTTTTAAAATAATAAAAATATATATATTTTAAATTATATATATATATATATATATATATGTAATTTTATTCTAACTGTATTTTGATATTAATATATATTTATATCAAAATACACTTAGAATGAAATTTTATATATATCTATGTATATATAAATAAATACAAATAATACAAAATATATATATATCCATATACAAAATGACATAAAAAATTTCATAAATATGCACGTAGACTTCAAATATATAAATATGTATATATATATTTAAATTCTATGTGCATATTTATGTCATATTTTTACATAATTAAGTAATTTTATTGTTTGCAATTTAAGGGACCTGCCTGACAACCCAGGCCTAAAATCCAGAGAATTTAATTTGATAGCACTGTATTTAACCTTGTAGCTTTACATTACATCCTAACACCTATACATGGGGGATACTGTTTTACTCGGGAGACTTCACTGAACACAAATATTAGTGTTTCAAAACAGTAAAACATATCACAGCGATGACATTGTCAGTGAAAGTGAAGTTTTTTGCATTTCTCACACACGAACGGCACTTTCACTGATGATATCATTGTTGTGATACGTTTTACTGTTTTGAAACACAAATATTTGTATTCAGCAAAGTCTACTGAGTATAACAGTACCCCTCATGTACAGGTTTTATAGTATAGTTATGAAAGTTACTAGGCCAAATAAGGCTTGATTTTCCTTTTTTTTTTACATTGAAATTTGCCTGGTTGGTTATGTTGCCTTTGAGAGCGTATTGTAGCCCAGGAATGAGAATTACCCCCATGAATGCATACCATTTGCAAAAGAAGACAACCCAAGGTATCGCAAATGTGGTATGTCCAGTCTTTTTTAGTAGACACTTAGTCACAAACAATGGCCAAAGTTAGTGTTCATAATTGTGTTTTACATTTTTAACACACAAACAAATATAAATGCTAACTTTGGCCAGTGTTTTTAGTGGCTACTAAAAAGGACTGGACATGCCCCATATTGAATACCCTGGGTTGTCTACTTTAAAAAAAATATGTACATGTGGGGTGTGATTCAGAGATATATGACAGATAACAGTGTTACAATGTCACTATTGATAAATTAAAAATATATATATTTTGAAACTGCAATTTCCTACTTGTACTTACAGACCTATAACTTGCAACAACAAAAATAAGCATGTAAACACTGGGTGTTTTTAAACACAGGACAACATTTTTAATCTATTTAGCAGTTTTGTTCATTAGCTTTTGTAGATAAAGTAAAAGTCAAAAAACATGTTTGTTTTTAAACTATGGAACTGTTCTAAAAAAACTATGGAACTGTTGTCGGCTACCCAATTGCGTGAACACCGCTGACCTGTACCTTCACCGCTGACCTGTACCGACACTGCGGCTGGAGACTAAGTCCCATTCGAAGATTCGAACACATGTTCGAATGGGACTTAGTAATTATTTCAGTGTAAAATAGACCGACCGCACAGCCCAAATCTATGGAACTGTTTTGGGCAGGAAAATGTGCTTGCGTTCAGTCCAAAGGGACTTTTTACTATCTCTGGAACCCCTGAACGGATTTTCACGAATTTTGGATATGTTTGTCCCCAAGTTATACTGGTTATAAAAATATAACATGCACAATGTAAAATCATGAAGTTATGAAAATGTATTGTAACGGCTACCCCTGTGGAGAGGGGGTATCAGCCGTTGGAGACGTCCTTTTTCCCTGGCAAGATGCTGTGCAGTAATGGAGTAGCCTTCTTTCTATCAGCTGGAGCCAAGTAGAGAGAGAGAGGTAGAGCTCTTAAAAGAGCTAGTGATTAGCTGAGCAGGTTCCCTTTCAATAACGAGACAAAGCTACGTTTTGAAGGGTAAAGTAGAACTGATGTTTAATGACAGGTACTCTGCTTTTATGCAGTGTTCCCCTGCAAGGGAGACGCCCACAGCCAATTAGACATTACCCAATCATACAGTGGTTACATCCCCCAGATTCCCTCCCTTCTGCTTGGGAGATAATTGAGTTTCTTACTGTATCTCCTCAATTATCTCCAAGCTAAAAATTATACTTTTTATGCATTTTATATAACTTTCTGATTTTTTGTCACACAGCAAAAACAACACAACTTG